AGCTAATAATATTGGGAATCAAATTTGATTTTCCCAATATAATAGTTATTCGGCACGAAGTGCCGAATAACTATTAAATATTTCGTGCGATAATGCATTTTATAATTTAAAAATGATATCAATTTGATTATTCCAATGCTCAAAAAAAAAAATAATAAATTTTAAAATAAAAAATCTTTATATAACACTTTTTTTATTTTCGGAGTCGAATCCGGGTTAAACAATAATCGGGTCGAGTCGAATTCGGGTTCTGTAATTATTAACGGGTTCGAGTTCGAATATGCCTTAAGCTTGACCCTTATGGAACATTAAACTTGAGGTAATGGAGGCGGGGTGTTCTTTTTAACTAATTGTCCTTTAGAAATGTTTTACTAACGTTTGCTTCTTTATTTTAGAACGCAGGACTTGAACAAGCGGACTTAAGATAATGGAGGCGGGCTATTTTTTAATTACATATGTAAGTCAATATTAATTTTATTTAAATAAAAAACAAAAATACTAACAAATTTCTCCATTAGGGCAACTCTCCGATCCGCAAAGGTAAGTTAATTTTAGTTTTATTTAAAAAAAAATAAAAAAACCATTAACAATTATTCCAATTAGGACTTACCTCTTATAAATTCCAAGGATAAGTATTATTTTTTTGCGAAATTTTTTTGTTAAAAAAAATAATAATAATATAAATAAAAATTTAATTACTAATGAATTATTCAATTAGGACACCTTTGATCAGTTCCAATTGTTTCAAGGTTCTGGAACGTCCTACAAAGGTATTTTTTTTTTTTAAAAAAAAAAATAAAAAAGAAAAAACAAACGAATGACTTACGATCCCAAAGGTTTCAAGTTTCCAAACCTCCAGTTGACATTATAAAATAAAGTAAGAAACATTACATTACGTTTCAGAGTAGCAAAAATGTTCTTAAAAAAATTTTCATCATCCATCCGTTCATCGGATATCCAGATGGCAAAAAATTTGGTATATAATTTTTTGAAGAAATAAATTATCTCTACATTCGGATTCTGAGTGTAGCGATACAATTTTTATCCATATTAATTTACATTATTATTTATTTAATTTAATAATCAGTAAATAAATTTGTTAAATACAATAATTTTGCATACTCTGAGTAGGTTGATTTGAATTAACTCGAATTCTTAACAAGTGTTAACATTTAATCCTTTTATCAATTATATTATATCTTAATTATATAAAAAAAATTTTTTACTGAGATTTCCTCACTTGTAAATAAATATTCATCTATTTCAATATCAATATCATAATTTTTCATTAAAAATGCGATAATACATAATTAATAATTTTAATACTTACTTAATTTTGTGTCTTTCCCTTTTTTTCCAACAATTAGCTTAATATACCAAATTAAATATTAATTCTATAAAATACACAAAAGCAAATGATATTATTTATTTTATTTTCAAAATTAATTTCAAAATTTCGTAAAGATATTTTCATAGGACATACTTTCTCTGTAATCCTTCAAATTAGTACCCATGAGAAAAATCACATGCTCATTGGATGGGTCGGGCACGGTACGAATCGTTTGGTCAGTAACGATTCGTACCGTACCGATTTTTCATGTACCCTCATGGAATGTATTAAAAGGATCTTTGTATTATTTTGCATTTGCATTTTTCTGACATAACTATAATTAATTGTAAGATTACACTAACACTACTCCCTATTGGTTAATAGATTACGAAACGATTCGCGTGATAGTATTATGATTTCCACAAATCTTTTTTTTTTTTGTGATCAAACAAATCATTCAGCCCGGCCCGTAATGTGTTTCACGCAATAATCACATTCGGTATCACAATCATTTTTTCAACAATGTTCCAATTGTACTTTTTGTTGATCAGTTTTACAAGCACAGATTATATAACAAATCATAAAGAGTGTGTTTATCAGTACAATCGGAGCGTCATTTACCTCAAAGATTTTTTCACTATACTTATATCTTTCGCAATTTATTGATCACGAATATCGAAGTCACACACATATATAGAAATTGTGTATAAATTTTACTAGTAATCAAATGCTTTGACCAATTAACTAATTTGTAGACTTACTAACTTAAATCCTAAAAATTACCAGTCATAATTAGTGCTCCTCAAAAGGGTCGAATCAACCCGAGTTACCTAGTTATAATGATTACAAATAAGAGAATATTTGATGATAGTTTTTAATATAATACTATTATTATCTAATGTATATTTTTTTATTTAATTAATTCTTTATTTATTTATTTATTTTTTGGCAAAAATACCATTGATTAGAAGTTCCACCAAACATCTCTTAGGATTTTACATATATCTATTTAAGAACTCTCCAGATAACTATAAATGAATTATAATATTTTTGATAACTATGAAAAGTTGTCTCGCTATTTGTTTATTAATGATTCAGCTTGTAACAATTGCATATTAAGAATAAATATTATGGTTGGGCAATCAATTTAATTGGTTCGCTGCCCAACACTATTTTAAAGCTATTCAGTAAAATTGCGAATAGCTGATTTATCCGTCTGTGATAGGCAATCCGGGTATATAACAATCATAAACTTTTAATATTCGATTTCTTAAAATTTTCTAGTCTTCAGTAAAGGATAGTAATTGGATATTAACCCTCATACACCTAGATCTGGCACTTGTATCGGTTGTGAAAATCAACTTACTACTTTTTTTTTCGACTCCAACCTAAAAGATTTATATGTAAGTAACTTCTTTTATTTGTAAATTCATAAAAAATATATGACATTATTTGAAAACTTTATATACTGTATGTTAATGAAATTAAGAGAAAGATCCTTAACACCTGCTTTTTCTCTTGGTCCCATTAAAAATATGGGATGATAATATTTCTGGGTTCTCATCCATAAAAATTTATTGGAAATCATAGTTATATTAATATTAATGTTACGTTTATAGTGAAGTTTCCAGTTAGAATCTGTAAATTAATGCTTACACATTATTAGTAATAAAGGTTATAGCGAGAACTTGGTGGCTTATATGCTTTAATGTAATTTTGAAAATATTTCAGCTTACCTCGTGGATAATTATATAATTATATTTAAAATTATAGTCACTTGGTACTGTTAAAAAAATATCTTTTCCTAGCATATTTTAAAAGATCCATTTTATTCGCAAGTAAATACATATGAAATTGAAATTAAAGAATAATACGTACTATAAACCTCATGTGAATAAAAAGTTAAATAATAATAACGCGTTAATATCACATTGATTTAATTCTATGTACATTTAAGTACTAACTTTCGAAATATATATTTTTTATTTTGGATAATCTTTAAATAAATTATCACAAACGATATTCAAGAAAGTATTTCTTCAAGAAACGATTTTCCATTTAATAAAATCGAAAATGATGAAATATAAAATATTTTAAATGGAGTTTTGCCATGGTGTGTTACAGTTGCAGTGTCGACAAATAGGTCTCACAACTAAATTATGTAGCCTTAGTCAAAAATCAATCACGACACAGAGTGATACAGGGTAAAATAATTACCTTAAACTTATGCCTAACTATAGTTTGTAAAAATACAGGTATTTACAAAATGATTAAATTCTTAAATAGATGGTAATTAAAGAAGAATACCTAGAATAGGGATAAAACTCAACAATTTCTTTATTTTATTTATTTTTATATGGAAATTATCAAGATGCTGCTTTGTTATCAAAAATTGATGTTTAAAATATAAAGATTTAATTTTAATTTAGGTAACACAATTTAATAAAAAAAAATTTTAGTTGCTTTTTTAAAAAACCTTTACAATTCAAACTGAATAACAACAATTACAATAATTTTAAATCTCGTGCTCTTAATATGATGTTGATCTTGACTAAGTATAATTTTTTAATAGGAATCTTCTTCCAATGTATTACATTTCTAATATGTTATTTAAACGCTTTCTTCGTAGTTATAATTTATATATTAACTATTTAAATCTACTCTAATTTCTGTCTATAGCACATCCAAACTCGTTGCAATCACTTGGAATTCGGTTCGTGTTAGTTGAGCAGAAGATATGCGTTCTGTGATTATGAGGGCTCTTCGCAAGTTTGTTCCAACCTGCACGTAAAGATTTATAAAGTTAAATGATTGTGTAATAACGATATACCGTGCCGGTAAATGTTTCAATTAAAGTTTCGGCATCACTCTTGATAGATGGATTTCTTTCTAATACATCATAATAAAATCCACTGAAAACCTATATATTTTATAAGAAAGGTTAATTTGAGCACATCATTAAATAATAAATTCAACATAGCATGACAGCTTCGGAATTTTTAAGTGTGTTTAATAAATTTTTTATCCTTAACGTATCACCAAATTCTTCCCCTAAATCTGATAAGAAATTTCCTGGATCTCATAGTGAAGATTTAAATCTGAAATTTCGACCTAGTAGGTGAATTTATTTTTATTTTTTTTAAAAAAAAGTGATGCTTCTTATAATAATCTTGTAAATATATATATATCATCTGTATTAGAAAAAGATTTTTAATTTAATAGAATATAAATGTAATGATATTTAAGCGTATTTTTCGGTATCAGGCACAGCATCGAATCGGGTATTTGATTTTTTTCCTATATATTTCATTAAGCTGATCGCTAGCATAAAGTATATTAGGAAATAGAAATAACCAAAATTGGTGAGTACGATCGTCAAAAAATTTAACCTTTTCAAATAAAGTCAAGCATCGTATTATATAGATAAAATTTTTTAAAAAGTTGTATTTAGAAAAGTTTACAAATTTATTTAAATAAAAAAATTAAGAGTCGTAGCATTATTTTGTTGAATTTTAATTTCAGGGTAGGGTGTTCATAAAAAAAAACGTAAAAGCATAAAAATCGAAAGAAAAAAAATTTATCAACGCAAAGCACGATAACTTATAATTATCTTCTTTGGTTAATAATTATTTTAATATATATTTAAGATTAATATCCAAATTTGTAATAATATTTTATTGTTTGTTATTGTAGACCGTATTTTTCATACGTATAATCATGTTGGGACGACTATTATTTTTTCTTATTACGCTCTATATTAAATATATTTTAGCTTTAAATTGAATTACAATTTTGATTTAAATAAATTTTTTTTTTTTGTAAATATTATGTATAGTCAAGATTTCATTTAACCAACTTAAATATTAAATAGTTTTCGGAGAAATAAAGGGTATAGTAAAATTATTTTAGATTGAGTTGCATTAAATCCCTATAAGTGAATACACGCAATGGAATCGCATATAATATCATTTATTTGATTTATAAATTTATACACTTATACTTTAAATTAATTTATAAAATAATTATCATTTACTCAAAAGAACACGACAACCAAATTTGATATGGAGAAAATCAGGTTCCAAGAAATTTTTGACTACCATGCAATGGATATTAGCGAATATTTACTTGAGATTATACTCATGGTTTGTACGCATTGCATTTAAAAGTGTGAATTCTATCAAACAGCATCGTAGGTAGTGGGGGAAAAGAGATTGATTTAAACACATGTAAGCCTTTTCATTTCCAATATATGAATGCTTTCATAAATTATTAGCTTTAATTTTGTTTTTAACGTCGTTATTGTTAAGGAAAAATTATTATTCGACAATAATTCATAATTTGGCGCAGTTATTTGCGACAACTTTTCGTATATTGGACAAATTCCAATTAATTTATTCACTTAGATTTATGAAAAAGGAAATGATCTTGATATCAATGTTTTTTAAAATTCTAAACTTTGAATTAATAATTCAATCACGGCTATAAATATTTGATAATTTTTGATAATACTTAAGAACAAGTCCAATAGAGGATTAGTGCTCGAGTCGGGACTATCATTTTTATGACACGAGAGAACTATAGAGGATTCCTGTCCTACAGATAGAGATGGGGACGCTTCTATTGGTTCCATTTCGGTTCCTCTTTCTGTTCTCCTTCGACTCTTCTTAGTAAAATAAAACTTAAATTAAATTTATACTATAGAGCATGTGATGACCAATTTTAACCTATTATTATGATGACAACCCGATTCTTGGAGTTGTTCCGATTTTTAAATTGGTTAAAAATTGGTATATAACTCAGGAAAACCCACCCATTATATGTTGAATTTATATTCGGTTCCAGAATCGACTCTGAGTCGCTCTTTTTGAACCGTCCCCAACTAACACTTAGACCTGTTTAAATTTTTTGTTTTGAAGATCCAAGATGCATCCTCCCTAGAGTGCATGATGATGCATTTAGAAAAGGATTATGGGAACAAATAACATATTAAAAATTTAGTTATCACGACAATGTATGAAGCTAGCAAAACGTCAGGTTTTTCGGTCAATTTTTTTTTACCAATAAGATAAAGATAAAGCCTGAACGATATTGGTTAGATTTGTTTATTACACAAAATATCAGGCAAAACCTTCTAAAGATTGAACGAAATAAAATAAGTTCTAGATAGATAATCTGTGAAAAATTATACACCCAATGCCCAATGAAGGTGCAAGTTCCATTTATTCAATCTATACCAAATATTTTGTTTATGCAACATTACGATATCAAACTCAAATATATTTGACCTGTTACAAAAGTTAACAAATAAAAAAAAAGATTTAGTTCATTTACGCTTCGCTTACTATTGTTAAAATTATAAAGTTTTTATTTAGAATATCAAGATTTTTCAAAATGATGGGGCACAACGGCAAATTTTGTCCCGAGATTATACAAAGGTTAAACAAAAATCACCGGCAAAATTCTGTTACCGAATATGTATATATGTATTGACATTAAAGGAAAGAATCATTTATCAATATTCTACGATTAATTTCATGATTTTTTTGTCAAATACCCAATAGAATTCTTCGTTGCTGATGTCATGTCACGCGTGTTTCACAAAAATTGAAAAAAAGATTTTGATATCTGCTTGTAATTATGTATTTCCATATTTAGTTAAAAAAAATTTAATTACAACTGCCAATCAACAGTTCATTTGATAAAATGGTTATTTATAAGACGCCTAAAGAAAAAAAAAGATAATAATAAATAAAAATTCTTTAATAAAGTTAATTTAAAATTTATGTATAAATAAATTTTTTTGTTAAATAAAATAAAAAATAAATAAATGAAGATAATCAATCATTACAAATCACGTTGTATTTCGTTATATTAACCGTTTATAAAAGTTGTAAATAAAGTCAATTGTAAAATATTAAATAAAATAAAATTTTTTATGAACGTTTATTAGCAGAAAAAAATTTTTTTCTTATTAATCGATCAGTTTATAGAACATTAATTTTGTATTACGGTTGAACAAAGTTAGATATTATAAATAAAATGAACGCTTTTGGACCCTTCAACAGTTCCCGTTACCTAATTTTTTAATCATTTTTATTATTAGGAATTGTAAAAAAGATTTATATTCTTGTATTAATTAATAATATGTATGAAATATGTGAAATTCTATAGGACCACAGAGATTACATTCTTTTGTGGTTTGTAACCCATGAAAATTTGTAAATGATGTCAATATAGTAGAAAAACGCTGCATATAAATAAGCAAATAGATGGTTTCCCTGCTAAAAAAAAAATATATAAATAATCTACCAGGCCCTCAAATGAGAGGTTACTTAAATATTATGGATCAAATTTACTACTTTGCTCGATTTTCGTAGTAAAAAGTATAGTTGCCTGGCAAAGCTCATTTTAGCAAATGGCAAAAGTCGAAACCCTATATTTCGACGGATTTGTTTATTATGGTTTCGAGTTTTGACGGTTTTGCCAATAAGATTTTATTATAATTTTGCCACAGATCCCGTCGAAACCCGAGAGTTTTGCCAAGCAACTATAGTAAAAAAGAATATGTAACAAAGAACTCGTGTTTTAAGTTTTCGTCAGAGAAATGATGATAATCTAGAAATGTATCGGTATGACTTCGGTATTGAAATAAATCTTATCTACGTGTGTATAAATTTAATATTTATAAGATGTTAACTAACTAACATATGTGCGATCACGTATATTAATCTAGGTAAATACCGGAATCACAAACAAACGGACCAACGTAAAAAATTTTGATAAAAAGTGATCTTGATTTGATTAAAATATTAAAACGGAACATACAAACAGATTTTTATGCCACTTTTAATTATTTAAAATAATTTCATAGAAATCGGATCGTATCAAAAAAAATAAACAGGGCTAATATTTGTTTTTATAAGTCAACCAATAATTTCAGTAATATAATGATAGTGCAGGTTGTGGTAATGGATTAAAGGACGTAAATTTGAAAAATGCTCCTTATTTGCGAACAAATAAACCTTAATTTCATCAATTTTGATGTGATATAATGGTAGTACAACTTATATATATTTTAATCAATGATTAAAGACTTATAAGCATAAAAAGTGGATTTCTATAAGTAACTCATCGAATACTGGAAAATCTACGTGTTTTTTTTAAATAATCTATTAACCATTGATGGTTTTTTTATTTCCTAAATGAATAACCTAATCAAACAATTTTATTTAATAATGAATGATATGACACTACATCGTTACGATTTTATTTTAAATATAATTCGATAATACTTTTAAAAAATATATTTTATCGTTAGATTATCGACGCAAAGTCATTTTGATGTGTAACGGTAAATATATAAATATTTCGCAATATATATAAATTTCGAATACTTTATCGTGAGTCGAGTTTTATCTAATGCGGGTTTTCTGTTTTATTGTATAACAACTTGATCATATGAAACACAATGTCATACTTCGATTATATAAAATGATGGAAATCTTCGCGTTCATGATTATTATTGAATTAACTTTAAATCAGCCTTCAATGAAAGCAAACAAAAGAAAAATTTTCATATTGTGATGAATTTAAAAATTAATTGAACTAAATTGGTAAGTTAAAAAGGTGAATGTCGTTTCAAATGGCTAAAGATCAAGATATAAAAGTAAGGTGATCACTTTGCAATTTAATGTAGATAGATAGTTTATAATCGGATAATATTTTAAAAGAACTTCATGTAGCATCAAAGTTCAGGGGCAAAACACAGCATAGAGTAGTACATACAGTCTAGAATGCAATGCCTTATTTCCACTCAGCTGATTGCCATTAAAATAATCCTTGTGGATTTATTTTATTTATTTTTTTTTTTCATTTAACTGTTCTTTAAAATTTGAATTATTTATTATTTTGTGTGGAATTTTTTAAAAAAAAGTGTGCGCGCTTAAAACAAGATAATCGTTATATAAAATCGATGAACAACATTGGCAGAGCAATTCAGGGTCCTTTTATATTACTTATTTAGAAATTCAAATAATTGTAAAGTTTCGGTGCGGCGTTACATACCGATAACGATTTTATTTAAACTTCAAACTGAAAAAATAATACAAGATATAAATTACGCTCGAAGCCGAACACGAAATTATTTTAAGAGGTGATTATTTTGAAACGTCTTTATGTTTACTATTGCAGAATAATTAAATCTCTTTTTCTTGAATATAAAACGATAAATCGGACTTTAATGAAAATCAAAAAAAAAACTCCAACAAAAGTTATTTTTTTTCTTAAAATTTTTATGCCCACAAATAAGCCTGAATTGTTCAATTTTTTATTTCGTACACAATGACATCCAAAAGTTATGAACAAAAATCACGTATGAGTCCATATGTACGAAAGATCAATCTTCTTAATAACAATAGACGAACCAGGAAGAAACCTCCAAAGATATGCCCCGATTGTAAAGAGACAAATAATTGCGTAAAATTATTTTCTGGCAAAGTTCATAGAATTGAAGAAATTGTTGATAACTTTATTAATGAATTTCCAAAAAATAAGACAGAAAACTTTTCGATTTTTAATGTCAAGTTTTCAAATAACGGTATTCCTTGCGAATTAGAATACAACTTGTCAGATTTCAGTTTTGAAGAATTACAAAATTTAGTAAATTTTACAACTGATCATATGAGTAATAACAATAGTAATTTCATCAATAATAATAATTACCTTCCTCCTTCCTCTTCAAAGAAGAATTTCTAAAGTAATGGAGAACTAAAAATGATTTCGTTTCTCGAATAGATTTAAATTTGCGAAATTGGCAAAATCAGAATAACATTGTTTTTATAGAATTATGTATGTAATTAAGAAATTAAGATTTATTTTAAAATTAAGATTATATTTTTTTTAAATTATGTGTAAAAATATGTATTCACGTTAAGATCTACATCATGCTCGTGAAAATTCTTTGTTCTTCACTGCTTCTTTGTCTTTATTCACAAGATTTAAATAAAAAAAAATAAAAAAAATTTATTATTGTTTTAACTCCCCGATTTGGTTTTGTTTGAGATGTTTGAGAAATAGGAAGATTTGCGCTTACAATTAATTTAGCGCCCGAATTAACCATAATCTGATCATTTCGCTCTTAACCGAAAGACTTTGATGCCTATATAAAATTACATACTTTAAATATATCACTGGCCTTTTGTTTTACTTTTGAAGTAAAAGTTCATTTTTATTCAGGATTGTCATATTAGGATCAATATAACTAATTAGATATTTATGACATTAGTTCGTGACCAATTGTACAATGGCGCGAAAACTTATTAGATGTAAATGATCATTAATAAATATTCGCAGCACGTATTTAAGAGACACAAAATCGAATTCTAACAATTCTAACGCGATCATATTTTATTGAAAAATAAAAGACTTACATCCAACATTATTTATTGTTCTTGTTATACTTTTTTGGTTGATTTGTGGATATTTGTGGATAGGATTTTATAATAAGTCATCCTGATAAGGTTTTCTCATTTATGCTTAATATTGTACAATATAATTCATAAATGGGAAATGTTTGAATGAAAGATACATTTTATTTACACGAAATTTATTTTTGAATTATGATTAAACGTATATTCAAGAATGGTATGTGTAATGAAGTTTTAATTTAAACAATATATATAATTTTTTATATACTTGATAATGTAATGCTGAAAATAGTAAATTATTACTTTATATATATGTAGGCTGAAGAAGTTGTCATGTGAGCAGGAACTGTTTTTTAATAATCATGGCCAAGCCTTCTTGCTTACCATAAACGAGATGATTCTTTTTTGGTTCAAGATGATAAACTTGTACTTAAAATTTTTTATTTTAAAGTGCATAAAACTTGTACTTAAATAATTAATAATTTCGAATAAATGTTATATTAATACTCCGCAGGGATTCCCTACCTTATAGCTATTATTTATTCGACTTGAAACACCGAAGAATTGTTTTATCCGGAATTCCATGATTACGTCAATAAAGTAATTTATAGAAACTATTTTTTTATTATTATTTTTAACCTTTTTAACAAAAGTAATTCTTTTTTCGCTAGTTTCCTTTGAAACCCTATAACCGATATAAACGCGTCTTAAAATGGAAAATTCTAAAAAATGATTGATATGAGCATAGCGGACATGCTTATATCACCATGTCGGCGAAACAGCATATGATCAGGCGAAAATTACAAATTATAAAATTAGATATTTTGGAATATGTATAATATATTTCTAAAACAATAAATCAAAGATCAAATATTTTACATAAGTTAGCTTAGGGCTGAAATAATTAATTAAGTAATTTACATAATAAATTAACTATTTTAGATTCAAAGGTTTGGGCAGAGCATGGGCGAATTGTGTGCCAACCATTATATTTCCTGGTTTAGGTTTTATAGAATATAATATAAAAGTACAGGTGCCGATCAAAATTATGTGGACACTTTTCAAATAAAAAAAATTATACAAAAAACCATATATTGGAAATAAAATAAGGTAAAGTATATTGATTTTATTGTCATTTATTAATTTTTAAAAAAAAATTCCGATACTAATATTTAATTCTATTGCCATTTGCGGCAATAACCGCTTCGATCCTCCGTAGCATACAATCGATCAATTTTTTATAATATTCCGGAGGAATGTCCTACCAGGAACCTTTAACATATTTTTCAAGCTCTCGGATATTAGATGGTGTCTTCATTTCTGCCCAGAGATTTTCTATCGGGTTCAAATCCGGGCTCTGAGCGGGCTACGGAAGCATCAAAATTTCAGCATTTTCGCGAGCAGCATTGGCAACTTTTGAACGGTGTGGTGCAGCATTATCTTCTTGAAAGATTCCATTACCACGAGGAAAATGCCTCTGTAAGGTATGAACAACATATTTTCGAATTGTTTCAGTATGTGTTTCACCAGTAACAGAACCTTTTAAAGCAACAATTGGTCCAAGTCCATTCCAGGAAAAACATCTCCAAAACATTTTGCTAGGACTGTGTTTTACAGTAACTGCAATGCAATCAGGATTCAATTCTTCTTCTGGTTCACGCCATACTTTGCCTTGACGTCCCTGTTGAAATTGTGTAAAAGTACTTTCATCTAAAAAAAACACTCTTCTCCATTGTCTTACTGTCCACTTTTCATGTGCACGGGCCCATTCAAGACGAGCTTGACAATGTGCTTCTGTCATTGCTGGTTTGTGACAAGGCATACGAGCACTAAGTCCAACTTTTTTAATATTACGACGTATAGTGATTGCAGAAATGGGTTTATTCATACGAACTGTCCAAACTGTTACAAGTTTTGCTTAACAAAGCTGACGGTTTTCAGCATTTTCTTGAACAAAAGTTTTAAGCTCTTGTCGAGTTAGTGTATTAAGGAGTGGTGGGCGGCCAGCTCTTTTTTTGGTGTAAAAGAACCAATTTCATGAAGGCATTTAAGAACATTATAAACAGCCATTTTGCTACACCCCGATTGTTTAGCAATAGTACGATCAGATTGTTTACAATTTTTACCATAGATAATCGCATCACGGGTTTTTTGGGTAAGTGGCTTCATGTTTCATAAACTTTAACTATATTTGTTTATCACATTAATAAATAAAAAATCATGTGATAAGCATAGCACGTGATATTTAGTAATTTGCATAATTCTGGTAAAAAAGTGTTCGTATAATTTTGATCAGTACCTGTAGACAACTTTTTGAATATTTCAAATATAAATCATATGTTATTATAATTATATTAATTTTGGCAAAATGTTGCTTAAAGTATAACTTACCCAATAATAATTATATTTTGATAAAATTTAATATGTTATTTCATTATATTAAAAGGCAGCTACTTGTAAATATTATTATGTAGAATTTCTGATCAGAGTATTTTTATATGTGATAAAAATTAATAAATAATTGACAAATTGATCAGCAAAATTAAGCATATCCACTATGCTATTGATATATGAAATTTACACAAATAATTAATTTTTGATTAGTTTTTAAATTTATTTAAGGTAATTATAATTAGTTATCTTAGAGTTATTTGCATGTATCAATTATTATTTTCCAACATTTTTTAATTTATTTTAATTATATTTTGTGTATCAACTATTATAATTTAAATTACTTAAGTTAACAATATATTATATTTCAAAGTATAATTATTAGAAGATATCAATGACTATATAAAGAAAGTTCCACTGATCTAATTATCTTGTTTTATCAGCCTTTGAATCTGCATACAACCTTTGAATAGAGTAAAACAAATTATTAGGTTAATATTCATTATACTTAGATCCAAAAATCTATCATACATTATGATACATATTTACTTATTACATAAAACTAATTTAATAAAATAAAATATTTCTGTTAATTTCTAACTTTTAAGTGTCCTAAAATTTTGAACTTCACTGTATATTTAAAAATTCTGATTTAAATTATATTTCAAAAAAATGACAAATTTGTTTAATTCTTCTGATTTAATGAATTAGCATCTGAATTAATAATATAATAATAATTACTTATTAGATAAATTTCTTCAAATCTTCATATTAATTTTAGTTAGTAAAATTCTATTTATCACATATTATTTATCACATGATTAATTTCTTAATGTTAGCCAAGTCACATATCACCATAAAATTTTTATTTCATATTTATCACCCTATATCACACCCTTTGCATTTCTATTATTTATAAGTATTTTAAGGATTTTAATTTTTAGATAATAAAAATATTTTTTACACTTCTTTTATATTACAATCATATAGAGTAAAATTTTACTTATAAATTTCTAATAATACTAAAATAAATATCAGTAGAAATAAGTAAACTCTCTTTTTCATTATTATATATTATTATATATAGTATTCAGAAATTTAATTAAAATATAATTTTTCAAATTAAACAGTACTTATAGATACTAAATAAGAAATTGAATACTATTTTAAAAGAATACAATATACAGAAATATTATATATAAAGATTACAATTATACAACTTTAATAAATAAATATCAAAAAAAATTAAATTTACTTTTCTTCTCTAACTGTTTCTCATTATATATATAATCTTCTTCAATTTATACTTTACAAATATTAAGAAAAACTTAATACTTTTTCTTATTTTATATAAAAATTATGAAAAACTTTTAAGTAATAGAAACAGTTAATATTGAAATACTATATAAAATAATGCTATACCTGAATATTAATTAATTTTCACAAAATCTAGCTTTAAAAAGTATTCAGATATTATTTGTGACTAGATCAGCTGTATATAGTAATATATTATAATTTTGTTTAAGAATTTAAATAAAAATATATATATTTAAGAGCTGTCAAAGTTTAGCTTATAAATAAAAACAAAAACTCTTTATTTAATTTTTTTTATCTCTTTATTTTTCACATATTTATTTAAAAAATAATTTATTATTAGTCTAAATAATAGTATTTATTTGTTAAAATATTTTTTTCACTACATCTTATAACTATTTTTCTCATTTATTTTTCCTTTTTTTGTCTATATAAAAGTGAATATTAAGAAGTATTTAAAATTATGATCTAGATTAATATAACTTTAAATATAAATAATTTTATATAATAATTATCTAATTATCTTTTTAAATAATTACACTCTTTTAAAAATTTCTAATATCATAATAATCTACTAATCATAATAGAATTTTCTGAATGTGATATAATTAGATAATTTGAGTCTCATTGCTATATCAGCTATTAGTTATAAAGTTATAGTCTAAAAAAACTTATTAAAAATTTAATAATATAGGTATTCCTGTACTGTAACAGGATTATTATAATATAATTGATCTATATAGTATATTATAAATAATTCTATAAGTGATATAGTTAATATGATTAACTTGATAGATATATTTAATTTTATAATACAAAAAAGTGCAGATTAATATATCAAATATGTCAAATATATTCAATATATCAAATATGTTTAACATAACTGATATATCTGATATATTAAATATACTTAACATATATGATATATTAAAAGTATATTAAAAGTATATAAAGAGGACTAAATTCATAATAAGAAATAATTATCAGTTGCTAGATATAACTTGATCAGTTCACTTGTAAAACATATGTAACTTTTAATTAACTGTATAATTAATTCCTTTTTTTTCTTAATTTTTTTATAATTTATTTTTTATTTCTTAATTTTATTAATAAACTATTTGATATAACTCATAACTTTTATTTAAACCTTTTGAATAATATGATTAACAAAAAGAACTTAACTAACTGAGATGTGAATATACTTTATATTATATAAAGAACTTAAATAAATAAAATGTGAATATAATTTACAGTATATAATAGAACTATTAACTTATTAAATCAATATTAGATTATTACATAAATTTTAAATAAATTACTATTTGAATACTATATTTAACTATTATAATTTGATAGGATCATATATTAATAATACTAAGAGGTTATTATTATGATCAGCTTTTTAAAAGGCTTATGAGTGATAAGTGAAGCAATATTTATAGGTGGTAAGCAAAAGGTTTAAATTGATAATTAGATTTTGAAGAGTATTAGTAAATTAACAGTTTATTTAATAGTTATAATAATAGAATATTACCTCAATTAATGCTCTATACTATACAATTATATTAAGGGAATTAAACTAAATTATTTAATAAAACTATGAGTTAGACATACCGTTAAGCTAAAAAAATTGTCTTCTATTTATATAAAATGAAAAATATAAAGTTATCAAAGATATAAAAGAAATAAATATAATAAATAAAA